CATCGTATAGTGTCATACTAAGCATATTTCCACACCAACAATGCCATTTTAGATATACTTTAAAAGTATTTCACACAATTCTAGACACTCTTCTTCCCGACCATATATGGCGGATTATCCGGGGCGTTCAAATTCTGATTAAAAGGTTTCTAGAAATCCTGCGTTTATCGTGATGAAATATCGCCAAGTGTATCACAAAACAGAGGAATCAGAAGTTACGAAGAAAGTATCGCGCGTTTATCCTATCAGTGTTATTGCCGAATGTTCGGAGGGCCATGATGCAGTAACAGGAAATTAAGATATCTCAGATCTAAGATATAACAATGTCAGTGGCAGATGAATGTCAATATCAAGGTTAAAAACTCAAGTAAATATTCAATATTGGCGAAGTAACCGGGAGCGTTAAGGTGCTCGAAAGGAAGCCAGCACGTAGAACGCAGAATAAGGTAGGACAGTAGTATAACGTTAAATGATATATGTTCGAATTTTTCACTCGCTCTTATAACTTTCGTAATTGCTCGGTAACGCGTACAGCAACGTTACTGCACAATAATGAATTATTTTGATTCTAGATTCAACTCTTGTCACCGCTATTTTGACTGCTTATATTAGGTGAACCGTCAGTTCTGCAGTGATTCTGGATTTTAATTTTCGGAATTATTAACTCTACAATATGTAATACTATATTGATACTAGTTTGATGACAATTAGTTTGTTATTTAGTACGCATTACATCCCATTACAATTTTGAAATAGTCAATTGTTGTCTGATTTTGATGATAACCTACTATGAGATATGTTGGTTTCAAAGAATTATATATGTTTTAAATAACATCATAGAAACAAAACGCATAACAATTTCCAGAGTAACGTGCCTAGCTACAGTAATTAAGGAGAACTATGGCTTTCTTTCACTTTGTTTGTTGAAGAAGAAACTGCAGCAGAGACTGGATGAGATTCAGCAGCAGACTACATCTTGAAACAGTCTGATGAAGATAAAGAGTGTGCATTCTTCCTTTTTTCATGTAAAGGTGAAAGAAAAATGCAATTCAACTGAAAGTAAAATGTTTAATGCTAGGTTTAGATATTAAGTGATTTTAGATTTTTAATAATTGATAAATATTAAGCAATAGTATACGTATGTATTTTTCTTTATTTGTTTTTTATTTATTATATTTAGACTTTTCTTTATTATATTTAGAACTTTACAAGTTTTACTAACATTGCTACCCAATAAGTAAAATGTTAGCAGTATGCCGACGATTGGCAACAGTTTCAATCAGATTCATAACCACTTGCATCTACATCAAACTTATGTTCTGTCGATAGAGCTTGCTGACATAACTTGACTGTATATTGACGACAGAAACCGAGCAGGATTTTTCATACAAATATCTTTTTATTTGTAAATCACGTAAGAATTTTGGACATGCGTTTTCATACTTCTGACGTCATTAATCCAAAGTTCTGCGGCGAATATCCAGAAGCCTTAAATATACTTAAATAATTATGAAATGACATCCTACTCAATTTCTGTCGTCAATCTATCATCATACTTCGCTAGCAAATCCTGTTGTATTTCTGCCGACAAGCTACCGACAAAATTTATAGCATACTCTGTGCAAAATCTGTTTCTGTAGGTTTGACTACTTTGAATATTTGTTTTCAGTTCAATTCAAGCACCGCAAGTAACAATGCCTTAGCAACGATACTGTTATATTTACATTTACGAAGATCACTCGGGTGGTGAAGAGTCCCTCTGCTTCGGAGTGTCAGTGTCGCGAATGCGTACCAACTCGTTCACAAGAAAAACGCATCAGTCATGCCGTAGCTAACACATGGGTAAATCGTCTTGGTAATATAGTAAAGTGTGATACATAATTTTCATATACGCAAGTCCGAAAACTTCTCGAATTTCTTGGTTTGTAAGTTGATTCTATCATTATTCGCTTTCTCTCGTCTATTTGTAAATATTTATATTTATAAATATATTTCTCTCGTCTATTTGTAATAGATCTTCCTTTGGCAAAAACATCAGTGAAGATTCACCGTTTATAACTTCCAACAATTTTCCAAATTTCAATCTTATATACATATCGCTTTGTGATTTTATCTCATGTGAAGTTCTACTTGAAAAATCAACTGAAATTTAAAGATATTTGTGATTAAGAACTATTCAAGTGCCTCCTTTGTTTTCGCTCTCAAATTCGCCGGAGAATCTGTCACTGAGTCGAGAGTTGTGCGAGATACTTTGTATAACTATCACTAGCCCGACCATAGACACCTCTTATGTTTACCTGCATATATCTACGCAATCATTCGTTTACACAGCATTGGAATATGCGCGTGTGCGGTCTGCCAGCGGTGGTGGATGAACGTTGCGAGTCTGCAGTTTGCTGGTCGGTGGGTCATGTGGGGAGTCGATCGGAGGCACGACCAGTCGCTGCCTGGCGGCCGCGCGTACACTTCGAGTTCTTCCGCCCACGTGTGTGTACGTGCTCCGGTCGCTTGCTTCGCCGTGAAGAGACAGTCAGATTCGCGGAGAACCAAAGGCAGCATCTCGCAATCCTGCAATCAGGATACTGAGTTGGCGACAGAGACTCACGGAAACGGAAGCGGAAGCGCGCAAAACCAGGTACCGTATTATGAGGGATGCGCGATTCAATCGCGGTTAGGCATGCTCTAGTTTCGCGACCTGGACCATCCACCTGTCGATACTCGTGAATTGCGATAACCAGTAGTGTACTTGCAATTCTTGAACTTTTATTATCGGTCAAAGACATTAGAGATGAGAAATGTAAGATTTCAAAAAATTTCAATCTAGTAAAACGCATTTATGAAATAAACGCACTCTGATCATTCATTTGTAATTCATAGGCCAAGGCATGTGAATTTTTTTATAAAATTTTCTATATATCAAACGTAATTTTACATCACAACGCTTTTTGAATTAGATTTCTATGTCAAAATAAGTAAATGTTTATTCTAATGAATAGTTTTTAAATATACTAAAATAAAAAGACGTGATATATATTATACAGAAAAAGAAAATAATTTTAGTGAATTATCTATATTCTCGGAATTCTTCACACATTGCTTATCCTTACTATATTATCTTTCTTTTTATTCTGAACTATGCTCCTGTATCAGAGTCTGTGCTTCAAAGGTAATAACACGCGATCTAATACTTCAAGGATAATTGAAAATACGAGACTGTGAACTTTTACCTTTCGATTCCTATCATTTCCGAGGTGTTGCCATTGACATTGTGATTAGCAATTTAGATTTTAATGTAATACGAGTTTTATATTCCAACTCAAATAACTCGTGCAATATTACTGTTAACAAAAAATTGCTACATGGAAAAAAATTTCAATTCTTGAGAAACCAGATGAAAACTCAGGGACGAGAATCTATTACCAGATACGATATCTTCTGTTACCGCGATCAAAAATATTCGTATGAACATTTACTTTAAAACATCTGCTTTAACAAATGTGACAACGGAGACCATTTGACTCAATAAGAAATCTATAGGAATTTTTCTGTTCCTACAACCGAATTGTCTTGTCTGGTCCAACGGGAAATCCATGAACCAAGTATTTCTCTGCGTGTATTGTCATAAATTCAATTTTTAATTTTACTCTATTACGTTAAAAAGCGTGATAGGCACTTTTTCACTTACAGTGTTTTAGAAAATAAATAAACTAGCAAATATGAAAATTAAACAGAGGTTACCGAGAGAATTAGCTAGATTAGAAATCGATAGAAATTATATCTTTTTGCCGATAAATCGCGGCAGTTTCAGGGACACGCGGTGATTTCTAATAAGAGATGCATATTTGAATTATTCTCGAAGCATTTGTCGTAATCGTAAGCACAATCGATTCGAACGCTTCGATTTGATTGTACCAGATCGTCCTAATTTTGTCAATAAATCGTGATATCATCTCAACTATTAGGACCTTGAATAAGTTCTCGCTAATTTTTCGTGAAAATTAATGCTTTATTTAAAAAAAAGTCACTGAAAGTATTGTCCATCGCTAGACACTACTTTTTTCCATCTTTCTGGCAGCATTTGAATTCCACGTCGGAAAAATTACACGTAGTTTGAAGCTATTCAAGAGTCGACCTATTTTTTGGCATCTTCATAAGAATGGAAGTGCTGCTCAGCCAAGCCATGTGCCATCAATCAGAACAAGTGATAATCGGAAGAGGCAATGTCTGGTGAATACGGGTAGGACTTCCCATTTAAGCGTTTCCAAGTAGATTTTCACCGGTTGTGCAACATGTGGCCGAGCGTTGTCATGTTGCAAAATCACTTTGTCGTGTCTCTGCTCGTATAGTGGCCGTTTTTCCTTCAATGCTCGGCTCAAACACATCAATTGTAGTCGATAGCGATTTCCCGTGATGGTTTCGTTCGGTTTGAGCAGCTTATAATAAACTACACCCAGCTGATCCCACCAAATGCAGAGCAGAAGCTTCGAACCATGGATATTCGGCTTTACCGACGATGTTGATGCATAGCCGGGCTTATCCCACGATCTTCTACGCTTAGGATTATCGTAGTGTATCCACTTTTCATTGCCGATACGATGCAAAAAATCTTTCCTTTTCTGCTGTTGAAGCAGCTGTTCACACATGAAAAGACGCCGTTCGACGTCTCTCGGCTTCAACTTGTACGACACCGAATGTCCTTGCTTTTGAATCATTCCTAATACTTTCAAACGTTTCAAAACTGTTGTGTGATCAACTCCTAATGATTCTGCAAGTTTAGCTAGCGTCTGACATGAGTCTTCATGAAGTAATGCCTTCGATTCTTCGTCTTCAAACTTTTTCGGTGCACCAGAGCGTTCTTTATCTTCAACATCAAAATCATTATTTTTGAAACGTCTAAACAAATCTCTGCATGTTGTTTCCGACAGAGCATGATCGCCGTAAGCCTCAACAAGAATTCTGTGTGCTTCAGCTGCAGATTTTTTTTTGAATAAAGTAGTGCAGTAAAATTCCCTGCAAATACTCTTTTTTTGGCACTAAACTCGACATGTTTAACACTATGAAAAAAAAGTTGTTTACACTTTGGCGAAATGACATACACTGAATTTCAAGCTTGCTTATAGTACTTCCTTATAGATGCATTACCATCTTAAACTATACGCACGCAGTTCTGGTAACGCCATTTGTTGGAAAACAACGAGAACTTATTCAAGGTCCTGATAAAATATCGGATTGCGAATACCGAGAGTCACTTCTGATGTTTACTTTGCTCATACGGGTCCTTGAAATATTACGTTGCATGTGTTATTACGATTGTAATCGGTATGCCACGAGGCATGCTGATTATAATCAGCAGAAACGTTTCGCCGTCGTGAAAATTGGCCACAAAATTTCGCGATACATGTTGAATTACTATATCACTTATCTTTTCTATTGTTTCGTTATCGGAACCACATGTTCTCATAATTAAACGCTGCTTCTAGAATCGCGCGTTTTAGATTACGAACTAAATTTTGATTATCTATCGTCATAAATCTTGAGGAGTTGATTGTGAATACCACTCGAATTAAAATAGTGCGTTTGCGTTAATCTTTGTCTACAACCTTGCTTTAAGCTGTAAGAAATTGACCAATCATGGTTGATTTTTAGAGGAATAATCGACTGTGGTTGGACAAGGGCTTAGACGACCTTAGAGATTTGTACTGTGGTAAAAATCCTTACGATATTATATTATAATATTGGTGTTTTATTGTCAATGGTTTAAACTCCGATATAAGCAAAGTTTTTCAGTACACAAAAAAGAATTTAGTTTGTGTTGATTTTCTGTCATCAAGAGACTAAACGAGAACTCGATTGTAAAAAGAAGAAAAATTTCTGTAGAGGAGAGAAGTTTTTTTTTCCATCTATTTATTTCAGTTATTTCAAACATGTCTTAAAAGAGTCTAATATCTAGAAGAATATTTTTGTTCGCAGTAACAGAAATATCGTCTCTAGTAACAGAGACTTTCGTCCCTAACTTATCTTTTAGTTTCTATTTAATTACAGATTTATTTCCATATAATATTTATGCAGGCTATATTCTGTTAAGGTCTATATTCTGAATTCTCTTTTATCTCTAAAAGCGACTCTAAAAATGGCTTCATTCAGTACTTTCAGCAATAAAAGAGAATTTAGAATATGGATTTGAGAATTTATCATTGGTAAACATATTTATATGTCGATGTTAAAAATTTAATAACATTTTTGTCCCCCTTAAAACAATTTGATTGGAATTTTTACATTTGGCAAATTTGCTGCCCGCAACCTGCATAAAGGAAATTACACACTGTCGTAAATTAATGTAAACATTAATATAATTGATATGATGCATTATATCAATGAAATTCTAACAGTATTCTCGAGATACGCAGATGAATTCATGTGAAGTAGTAAGTGCACGCAGAATTTCTGTAAAAATGTTAAAGTTTTTAACTGCGTGATAGCGTGAATCGTAAGACGTGCGAAAACTTCCGGTCACGGAAAATCTACAATTTACTGGTTTATCGTGTGTGTTAATTCGTCGTGAGTTTCGAAATACATAACGCAATTGATGTAAGATCTTCTACCATGATATTTCGACGCTTCACCGCTAGATTATATCGAGTCCTCGGTTTTTTCCTTGGTTGCTAGTGACACGTTATTAAGGCGTCAATTATGAGTAAATAAGCATCCAAGTAAAAATTATATTACGTCAGTTTGCGTGACGTCCGTGGCCATTTTTTAATATTTAACAGAATGTTATCGGTATGTCATAATATCCTTTATGCGACGTCGCCTCTTTTATCTTCTTATCTTATGTCAGAAATTGAGATTTTGTCTTATCTATTTTGTGTATCGTATGTCAGTGTTGTTCCTATTGCTGTTGTTTGTCTCTACTTTTAGTAGAAAACTCATTAACTTCATAGTGATGATTTACGATCAACATCGAATTTCTTCCTCTTTTGCTCAAACCACAATTCATGATTAGCTGTATGTGTTGGTTGCTGTCGTTTATGGACGTTTTTAGTGTTGTAAATATTTTCGAAAAGTATCCTTGTATCACAATGTCAGTTGTTAGGATATCTCCTCGAATTCCTTTTCCAACGAAATTTTTTAACGCAAAGGAGAGTTGACGAATATTATTTTAGAGTTGTATTAGGTTCCTAGAATCATGCATTTCTTCTCCTTTTTTATTTTCTCTATTCTTTGTATTCTCCTTTAAATGTTTTAGTATAATAAGTCGTAAAAAATCAGCTATTATGTTATATTGGATTGATTTGCTCTGAAATCTGGAACATTATGTTCAGAGACAGATTCATCTCAGAATGCTACATCTGAATTTGAACGTGATTCTCTAATGCGGCTCCCACACATCTCGATCTCACCGGGATTTATTCCGTACCCTCGCTGATAATAACTGTAAATTACGGAAGTTCCATTACACAAACGACAGACAGATTATTTATGAGCTGCGCTCTTTGGTGAAGCGCGCTCGATTAGATAATTAGAGTGCGCCTTTGTGAAAATGACGCATGTCTCTAATGTTTAAGAGACCAGAACTTCAACTGAACTTAAGTATACATAGCCAAATAGCTAATAAATTATATGCTGCGTTCGCTGCTTTTGTTTTATTTCCGCTTTTAATTTCGACTTGAATAGAAGGGTTCGTAGACTATAAAATGTCTCACGTGCCATTTAATTTCAATAAAACTGTTCGAGATCCTCGCAGTCTTATCAATTCTGCGGCGTTACGCTTGCGTCAGATTCATTAATTGCTGATGCGCTGATGGATGCAGAGTGTGATAAATGAAGGATGGATAGCCAATGGCGATAGAAGAGACGGCGTTATGTTGCACGCCAGTTGGAGGATCTCTTTCCTATCACGAAGGAAGACGCTTACGAAGCATTGTTCCCGACGAGTCAAGGAAGTGACGAGTGTGCGTGTTGCACTCTGGATTAGAATCGTCACTGCGGGTCAACTGGCTGAATTATCTCGGTTGACGTTTTGCACCTTCCAATTGATTTCAATGGAGCCTCATTTGCCGGTTTGCAGCTCGGGAAGGAACGTTCTGATCTCTTTTCGCAGTTTCTCCTCATCAATCCACCTGACCCGCACATCGTGATTTAGAGCTTGTGCTTTGTTGCGAAAAGGATCTTCAAAAACCACGAAACTTAATCGACGGCTTAATAATACTTTGTCAGAGAAAAATCATTTTGAGTTTTGAAAGAGAAAGTCGGACTGTTCATCGAACCCGTCGGTTATCGAGCACAAGCACATTCACGTCTATGTTAATTTATAGATTTTATGATATTTCCGAAATTGGATAATTACTTTTCAAATAAGGCGGTCTACGTTCTCCATGTCAGATTTTTGTATAAAACAAAATGGAATGTGAAATTGTTCTTTAGATATTAAGTATTTATCCTTCCTGTTACGACAACCAATTGATTAAAATTCATGCGTGTGATGCAATAATACATTGCAGTACGTTTAGATAAGCGCACGATGAGCACTGATGCATTTGATGTATTTGAAACTACAGTTATAGTATGTCCGGTTTAAAAACTGGATGGTGAGAGCATAATTTCTCCGGATCACCTTGAAAATAAGACTGGAGGAAACTGCGCCTGTGAGACAAGTATGGAAATGAGAAAAATTATACGTAACGACAGTGTATACGAAAGGCTGGATACCTCAGTCAACCAATCAACTCAACTGGTTCGACTTTCATGGTCTCGCTCTTACATAGGCATGTAAATGATTGGCGATAAAAGCGTTGTAACATGTTGTACAACGTAGATTCGCTGCATGGCGTAGATTAGCAATGACGATGTATACCCGATCGATCGATAACCAAATGCCCATGACAGAAATAGAATCCATTCGAATGATTAATCAAGTTCCATTCGAATCGTTATTGATTAGTTGGCCAAAAACTGAATTATTTTAACGGTATTATTTACACGTCAATTCTGTTAGATTTGTTTTGACTACTCGACACTGAAAGAAAAAAATTATTGATTTAATTAAAATTATACTATTAATTATTTTATTATTGTAGTATTATTGTATTATTATTGTAGTATTATTGTATTTTATTATAGTATTATTTTTTTTTTGACAGCTATATTTTTTGATTGTTCTAACACAAAAAAATTCTAAAATAGTAGTAGTAACATGCATATAAGAAATTATAATTATAATATTACAGAAGAATTTAATAAAGAAATAGTCCTAGATTTAATAAAGAAATAGTCTTAGAACTTTCTTATCTATAATTTATAGTAATTACTTCTCTATGTAGTTGTAATTACAAATACTAAACATTTTTCTTCTTAGTGTAAAAAGCTAATAATAAATATTAAAGCGAAATAATAGTATAAAAGATATCTTCGACTAGCATATCTTTGATATTTTTTTATTGTTTCTTTCTTTCCTTTTTATTTTGATTTCTTGACGCAACTCGTGGTTGTAATTTATTACCATCTTATCATGTGTAAATACATATCTCATACTCTCTTTTCATAATTCATGATTTTTATTTAAAATTTTATTTATTTAAATTTTATTTAAATTAAATTAAATTAAATTTTATTTTATTTTAAATTTATTTAAAATTTAGTGATACCGCGTTCATAGAACATTAGCCAATGTCATTTTCTTATGCAAATATTATGTAATACGTAGTCTTCGATTTCCCGTTTGTCAAGAATATTAATTGATTTATGTCAACTGTGATATGTTACGGCAATAGTTTTCTATAACGATTTATAGAAAACAATAAACGATGTTATGAAATTGCGAACATTTCTCCCGTCCTCGTTCGTAATTTTAATTTCTGAGTAAAAAATGAAATAATTAATTATCGCACTGGATGATGTTATTAATTTGAACTAAACAATAGTATATTTTCAAACAATGTCAATTAAAGGTTGAGAAATAATGCTTACTACAGTATCTATTTTCTCCTTCTTTTTCGTCAAAAAAGAGTTTTCTCCTTCTTTTTTGTCAAGAAAATTAAGAAAAATATCTGATATCGATACTAAAAACTATTCAACAAGCTATAATTATGTATACGTCTCTTTCAATTTTATCTCTAATAAAATTATATAAGAGTATTTTTAATAAAAATTGTATAAGTGACCATAATGGAATGAATGGAGAAAAGAAGGAGAAAGCGAGACTAGAATAAATAACGAAATGAAGGTGTGACACGTGTTGTCGAATTCGATGTTAAATAAAATATATTTCTATGGGAATTTTTTTGATTTTCCATTTTTTCCAGATCTCCAAACTCTTTTCGACATGGTAGTGCCTAAGGATCATAAGCTGCATGAAGCAATTCAAGTTGCGCCACTAATTCTTTCCGACGATGTTAGACGACAAAAAGTGAGTATAACGCTTGCTTAAGTTCGATAGCCGATACTTCGTTTGTAATCGCAACATTTACACTATAGATTATACACGAACATTTTATCTGCAACGTTTTATTTTATAACTCGTTCACCCTGAACTTCTGCTCTTTCATACGACATACGACGAAGTTGGAAGTTGACATTACATCGTAATCTCACGCGATGAGAACATTTTGAATGCAAGAAATTATACATTTAATTTAAATTTTGCCGGAAAATAGGAAAATTATGAAACTATTCATAAATGTATTCTTCTTTAATATGAAGTATTTATAAATATAAGATGAGCCTCTTCTTAAGCTGTACTTCCTGCTTAATGACGAAAGTTTAATGAACTCGGGTGTTTCTCACGGCATGCAATTCCGATACAGAGAAACGACACGATGGTTCAATTATTACATACCGCTGCACCCGGTTCTGAATGATACACAAGTGGCAGAGCGAACGAAGTCCTTAACCTTGAGACATTCTAGTTGAGAGTTTAATGACACGAGACGATTGCGCGTAGGTACTTATTCGCTTTGATAATTCTAATCATAGTACGCGTGCCCACATATCGCGTAATAAAGTATTTTCCTATTAAAACATAGTTTTTTGAGAATGAAAAAATCCAATACGTCCTACTGGCAATATCTGTGAATTGCAAAACGTTGTTATGTAATATTTGTGTAACGCAAGAAGATTACGAGTCTATTTTTCGACAGATATTATCTTGAATGTGGATTGCGCGAGTTACTCGGTAGTAAATATGACAAATAATAATCGCATCGATTTTTCTCTTTGATTGTCTTTTAAGGAGACTACGGTAGCTACGGTCGTACCAATCTAAGATGCGTGGATTTAAAAATCTGGAAGTAAATGCATCCTTCAGCTTTTCGCGTGTATCCAGACAACACAAAATCTTCAGAGAATGTTCTGGGACGTCCTTAGAACATCCTTAGAACGTTCTGTGAAGATTTGTGCTGTATGGGTATGTCGGTCAGCGAACGGCCGTGCGTATAATCTTGTTTAGACTACGTGCGACGCGCAATTACGTCCATGCGGCTCGCATCGAAACGCATGGGATAAAAATGGTTTAAGGTTCGGGGTTATCGTAGTTTTTGCCACAAGACAGTTATAAATCGTCAATTTATCTTGCTTTCTAAGTTACAGGATTATCGAATGGTAATATCCGTTATTAAAAGTTCAAAATATGCGGACAGTTTATCAGTTTAGATAGCGCGACTCCGCTTACAATCTTTCGAAAGAGCAGAAAATTGATCAATCGTCTAGTTTACGTAGCAATTATGTTATAATTGTTTCTCCATATTTATGAGGCATGCATCCTCGATTGCGCAAGAAAATATTTACACCTTTAATGTGTTAAAACGAAGTCGTATGAAATATTTTTAATGCAATTTTCGTCATTAAATCTATATCCTAAATTTATTTAATAATTTAATAAAATTATTTAATAAAATTTGATTAAAAGGAATCGATTTCCTGTGCATTTTAATCTCGCTTGTTACGTCAAGTGTAATTAATTCATTCAGGTGTAATTAATTCAGTATATATTTCCTTATATATGCTAGACTTGAATGATGTGAGTTTTTCTTCAGTCTACCTATTTAGTATTCTGTTTGAAACTGCGCAATACCCGAGGATTGTAAACAATACCACGTTCGAAGCTTCGTTGATATGTTTGCTGAGGTGCCGGCATGATTTATGGATTGCGGAAAGTTCTTCCGGGATAACGAGAGTGCCATAAAGATTACGTCTACGTGACGTGCAATAAAGTGCTTAAAAATTAAAACTCTCTCGGCTTGCAGATTGAAAATCACATGGAAAAGATGCGGTTTTCCGCGGCGACAGCCAGGAGGATACAGGATGTCTTTATTTCGGAAATGAACAAGGGAATTCACCAGCAACCGTCCTCACTACAAATGGAAAACACTTATGTGCCGGAACTGCTCGATAGAACAGGTTATTATTGTAATTTCTGTGCTTAGTCCCATAATAATAACATCGCTCTTTCACTTTGACGTAGAGATCTCTCTAACTTTACTGATATTTGTATCACTACTCAGCAAATGTTACATCCGCAAAGAAACATCAAATTTATGTCAACATCTTATTTTGACGACAAAATGCGAGACCGATATCGTATCGTGATATTAATGATGTTAAAGCCTTAGATCAATTCAATAATTATTCACACGAATATTTGTAGAGAAAGGCCTTTATTTGGCACTCGACCTCGGTGGCACTAACTTCCGAGTACTTCTACTGGAATTGGCTCACGGTGCTCCCATTCGACAAGAAGTAAAACTATATTCTATCAGACCCGAATTAAAAGTCGGTTTGGCCATTCCCCTGTTTGACTATCTGGCTGAATGTGTCAGTGATTTCGTCACCGCCCAAGGGCTTCAGGACATAGAGCTTCCTCTCGGTAAATTGAGTTCTGTATCTAGGCATGTGAATATCGAGCGACTTGCGGAACCTTTAATTAGCGTTGTCGTGTGATCGTCTATAAATAGTGAATACTTCCATCCATAGGAAATAATCATAGTAGCAGATAACTATCTTGCGAATAATTAGCTTCGTCGTCGTATAATTATCTATATGGTTTGTCTGATAATTTTTCCACTTTCACATCTGTAACCTTGACAATCTGTGCTTCGCGCCGCAGGTTTCACATTTTCCTTCCCGATGATTCAGCATTCTCTGGACGTTGGTGTTTTGGTAACGTGGACCAAAAGTTTTAATTGTCCCGATGCTGTCAACAAAGATGTTGTCAGGCTCCTGCGGGAGGCTCTGGACCGGCGAGGCGACACGAAAGTGAAGGTCGTCGCGGTATTGAACGATACTACGGGTACTATGGTACAGGGTTCGACGTTGGACCACGAAACGGCTATCGCACTTATACTTGGAACCGGAAGCAACGCCTGCTATTTGGAACAGGCGGATCGAGTCAAGCACTGGGAAACCGAGAGACATGGCGAAAGAGAAGTAAATTATCGAAACACACTATTTGCAATGCATATAAACGTATCTTGTACGTGAGAAGCATTTGTAAATTATTGCTCGGATTTTGTCATTCAAGGTTATTATCGATATCGAATGGGGTGCTTTCGGAGACAACGGTGTATTGGACTTCATCAAAACGGATTTCGATCGCGAGAATGACGCCAATTCCCTTATCGTGAATTCATTTACGTAAGTGAGCAAACTCATCGTACGTTATCTGTGGCATCAGACTGTCCGTAATTATGTCACAATTACTGTTTCTATATGATAAAAAGATATCATTTTTGATAATATACTTCAATTAATTTGTCTTTATATCGACTTATTTATATGTAGAAAAGTTGAAGATTTTAAATAGCATTAATTGTATTCATAAAACAAAGTTTTCATAAAACAAAATATAATATAAGGAATGATTATATTAAGCGAAATCTTTTTTTTAAGTAATATATAATCTATAATCCAAGAGCTTTAGAAAGGTGCCCTAGACGAATCCTAGCGACGCGATTAGCTCCTAGGATATCGGCCTATATCTAGAAAGATCAGTCCTAGGATAACGGCCTATATGTAGAAAGATCAGTCTTATACATCATTAACTTATTTCTTTAGATTTGAAAAGTACATTGCTGGCAAATATCTCGGTGAGGTGGTGCGCGTGATACTTGCGAGGTTGACCAAAGAGGGGCTTTTGTTTGTAGGAGAAAATACACCACACAGTCTGCTAACGCCTGGCAATCTTACTACCGATCTAGTGTCACATATCGAGCAGTACGTCTGTTTAAAATCATTATACACGCGCGAAAGATACGTGCGACCACATAAAGAGTTCATTTTGTTTTATCCAGGGATTCTATGGACGGTGATGACAGGAACACAAAGGAGGTTCTAAAAAAATTTGGCATTGTCCCGGACGAGGACGATATCAGAATTGTTCAATACGTGTGCGAGGTCGCTTCCAACCGCGCGGCTCTTCTGGTATCGATATGTACGTTAATGGAACACTCAAACGAGGCACTCAGAACATGTGAGCGCTCGTTTTAATCTCATCAATGATTTGTGTCGAAGGTCTTGCGACTCTGCTGGATCGTATAAATAAGGAACAAGTAACGATTGCTGTGGATGGATCTCTCTACAAGCATCATCCTCGGTTAGAAGGCTGGATGAAGCGATATATCTCACTTCTCACTTCTTGCGAACGAAAGGTGCGTAAAATGAACGTCAATTGAATTACAAATCGCGTTTGCTTTGATGAAACATGTTATCTAGATAAAATATTCAAGGAATAAAATATTCGGTGTTCCACAAAGTTCAAAGGATTTTGAATGCATTTTTTAATTTTATCATATAGTTACGAAATTAAATTATATTTTATCGTAGCTTTTGCATTTCCTGCATTTTCTGTTTTCTGCATGCATATCTGCATGCTTTTCTTATCATCAACATCATGAATATTATGTATATATACTCCTTTCTGTCTAGTATAATAACATATTTATTCTGAACACACGCAGTTCAAATTAATTCATGCGGAAGATGGAAGCGGCAAAGGCGCTGCGCTCGTGGCTGCTATCGCACAAAGGCTCAAGAAGCGATTACAATAACAACAAATACATTAGGAGACTCTTATTTCCGCAGTTCTTGTATCATGACACATCATGCAGGTTGTTAATAGTCATAGAAATATTCTGCGGCAGATCTTAACTCAATAATATCTTTTGTAGAGTTTATCTCTGCCGTAGTACTCTGTTCTATCTCTGCCGTAGTAATATCACTGAATATTAACTATTCATAAATGCAATTAAGTTCGCGTTGATTTATAATTCGTTGCGCGAGTTTCGACCAAAATAATTTTAAGTACCACAAATTTGCATCGATATACGTTTGTATTGGCTTTGCAATGATACAAAATATTAAGAAGCTACCGATCAAACTGACAAGCTGAAAACGCGTGTGCCATTTTAGGAAAATAAATATACGTTTCGTTAAACACGAGGAAGAATTGTGAAATGGATTATCGAAAAAAAGAGAGAGTAAAATATTTATTAAATAATACCTCAAAAAAAAAAAGAAATATATATATATATATATATATATATATATATATAT